ATCAGCGAAAAGGCCCCAATTTCAGTTTATTTACTTTGTCTGCTTGAGGATGATCCCTCAGCACATGACATTAGTTGAACCTAGCTGTGTTGTTGCCTTAACTGCATCCCTCCAGCCTCTGGACTGGCGACTGGACTCTGACTTTCAAATCACCTTGTGTGAAAGCAGCTACAGCTAAACAGCAGGAACCTTGGGATTAAAGGAAAATGTTGTAGTATAATTCAGCATGTTCTGTTTAAATGTTTTTACTAAATTACCGTATTTTAACCCATCCCATATTGCAAGCCCAAAGAAAGCTTTGTTTTAAGTTTGCAGGGTGTTTTATCATTTCCATGTCCCTATTTCATATGACCTAAACAAAACATTTATGTGTGAATACAGAATATGGACTAGTGGCCTGTGATGCTAACCTCCCTCACTGTGATGAGTTAATAAAAAGCATGAATCGTGTATAAAGAACAAGCGCCAAGAGGTGAGTTTGTCTGATAAGGGAAAAAAAAAAAAAAAAAAAGACCTTGAATGACTGATGTTCATGGTTCAAACAGTTTGCGATGCTCCACAGTTCCCTTTGAGGTGAACTTTGTGCTGTGACATTCCAACACAGTACTAACTCCCACTCAGAAGCATGCTCGCATCATTAAAAAGTTTTAAACTTATTGTGAATTACTGATGAATAATCATCTCCATATGCTGTTTTGTATATCTAAGCTGTTATGTGTCTAGATCATCTAGATATTTATAGAAAGATGTCCTAGCTACTCCAGAGAGATCAAGACAAGTGATGGTTAGAAGAACACAAACAATGCCTTTTCTTTCTTTAGATGATGAGCTTAACCTGTTCACTGGCCAAACTAAAACAACCAAACATGATTTTTTGAAAACACTTGAAAGAATTAAATTAGATGTTGTTCTTTAACCCTTAGGTGCTTCCAACCTGGCTTATGAAACATTAGCTACGTTTACATGCGCAAAATTTCCCCGATCCGATCCAAACCTTGGTTGATCGGAAATTCAAAATCTCCGTTTACATGGACACTAAATGAAATGATCTGATCATGACGTGTGTATACATGTACCAAGCGTTGGATCAGATTAAATCTTTTAAGCATGCGCAGAACTTCCTGCCAAACTTGGCAGTTCTGTCTGCGTCTGGTTTTTGGGAGGCCTGACAAACGATGCGCTCGGAGCGAGCGGAAAGAAAAACGGAGAGAGGAGGAAAAAAGCGCTTGGCAGCGAAATGTCCGAGAGAAAATGTAGAGAATGAGCGATTGAACCGGCGTGGGAGAGCGAGTGGGCTGTGGAGAGAGAAAAGAGGAAGAGGAGGAGGATAAATTCCTGCTTCCTGCAGCTTTAAATGAACTTGAGTGTATAAGTCGGCGTTCCTAGACTCCTCCCGCAATGTTGTTCACAACAAGAGCGAGAGAGACCGGTGGTTTCCTGTTGTTGACAAGGCGGAAAAACGTCACGCTGACGTCGCACACATGCGCAGTGAAGATTATTTTACTCTTAAGATCCGAATGGGTGTTTACATGGACGCCAATCGGAATGGCGATCGGCAAAAACCACCTCTCTCTTTCGGAATTAAATTTAGATCCGATCGGACCGAATCGGATTAGAATCTTCAGTCTGACATGTTTACATGAAACATTTTTGATCTGATCAGGCCTTCAATCCGATTAGTTGTGTCCATGTAAACGTAGCTATTGTAATGTCAGACAGTAGCCTTATTATTGAGGCTGCAAATTTGGAGACACCACATGCATTCTGCAGACATGACCGGCTAACAGATCAAAGGCATATTTTGTTGGTTTTTGTTTTTTGGACTAATGAAAGAAGCAAAACAAAAACAACACTGGATATGTAAACAATTTAATTTAATTTATACCTTTTCATAATCAAATAATATTTGAGGAGTAAGAAGTGCCTGCAGTCAGTTTGGACTCAGTGGTTAGTTTCCAAATTTAAAATGAGTAATTGTTGATAATAATAATAATTATTGAACTTTATTGATCCAACAGGGGAGAAATTTACCTTTGCATTTAACCCATCCCCTTGTGGAGCAGTGGGCTGCCATTGTGCAGCACCCGGGGAGCAGTGTGGGGTTGAGGGTCTTGCTCAGGAACCCAGAGTGGAGGCAGTGGGATTAAAACTGAGTACTAGTAACCTTAGAGCATAAGCACACTGCTGAAATCTTTACTGAACCCCCCCACCCACAGACACACAAAGTGGGATATAAATATAATATTATACATAATTGTAACTTTTTTTTAAATGATGCACAGAAAAAGGACTTCTCGCTGCATTTAATATATACACAACCTCATTAACTGTGTGTGCCTCTGCTATCTGTCTTCAATTTGAATTTGATAACATAAACAAGATCAGTTTACTGTAGGTAGTTTTGATTAAAGTTAGATATTACTGAATATTATTTCATAAAACTACTTAGCAAAATCTCATGAATCTGACAGATGGGAATAATTTTAGCAGTAACTTTATTCAGATCACACTTCAAATCTGTTTTACATGATCCATTTAGCATAAGAAAAATAAAGACAAACAAACAGAAAGCTGTGAATGACTCAGAAAGGTGGATTTTCGGTTTCAGCAAAAAGACACCAGACAACCTTATAATTCAAAGCACATATTTTCATTAGACATCTGGAAAGGACCACAGCACCTGTTATACTGAGGGATTAATCGAGTTTTAACAGATGTGATTATTCATCAGGCAAACTTCCTCCATCTTTTCAAACAATACAATACAATACCACTGGATAACGTGTTAAATTTTCAGTTTTAACTTGCCAAATGAATGATAATGCAGCAACAATCTTCTATTTCCACGTCTAATCGGTTAGAAATGAGGAGGAGTTGACCAGATTTTTTCTCTCCTTGCTAAATGCTGATGCAATGCAGTGCATATAAATTCTGGCGGGGATAACTCATTTAGCATCACACCTTGTCAGAATCACCAACCGCTTCAACATCTATTGCAGTGCTTCTATATTACCTATGCTTAGCATGCAGCTAAGGTTTAGTACAAATAAATAAAAGATACCATTTAGAGATAATGTGGTAGTCGGAGCCTGTTTGACTCACTTTTCATGTAACTGGGGAGTGCGGACATTGAGAAAATCAATGTTCTGCATACTTTGCACTTTTGTGAATTGTTGGTTTGCTCCATGTTTGAGCCAGTCGATATTTTAGATTTTCCAGCCATAGTTGATTAAAACAACACCCTCCCGGCATGTTCTTCAATGCTCTGTCCACTCGGTAGCCACGTCATCATGACAACAGACTATTATGGCACCAGACAAAGTTACAAAAAAGAAATACATTTCACCATTTTATTTTTCTCTCTTTAATAAGTGGTATATTAAGTGAGACTTCTATTGTGAAATAGGTGTGAATACAATATCAAGCATTTACAAGAACCAGACACAAAATTCAAGCATTTTTTAAACCTTAAAACACACAATGTTAAAATTCAAGCTTTTTCAGGGATTTAAACCACCCGTATGAAGTGTGTGTCACAGGTTCAAATCCAGTTAAGGTAATTGGTGTAACAGTCCAAGCCAGGGCTCAGAACATTATTTGAAGTGAAGTTTAAAGTCATTAAATCAGTGTCTCTTGTCTAAGTCATTTAACTTGAGTCCTCCCCTCTCCAAATCAAATGCAATTCCTGCTGCTGAAAAGTAGGGACACAACTTTTTTAGTTTCTATACGAAACTAATTCTGCAGCTTTACTCAATACAATATCAGCATGAATAATTCTAACTTTAGTCTTTTTGGCAGTGTAGCATTTTAGAAAAGACTTAATGAAGACAAAATACTCTAAAAGAGAAAATATCTATCCTGTTAATTATTAAGCAATGAGTTACAAACTATTTAAATAGAAACTAACAGAAGTAAAGTGTTTACATCAGCCTGCTGGTACAGGAGGTTTTCGATGCATGCCCATATTCCGAGATTATAATCTTTTTAGATGACAGGCCGATTTTCGATGTCAATATCAGATCGGGACATCCCTGCTGAAAAGAGCAGTGATGTGTCACTAACCAGCACACTGCATGCATTAGTGATAGGACAGACGTGTTCTGGAATAGATAACATTTTGTTTCAGATCATAGACTTTTTTGCTGACTGAATTCCAGCTACCAAAACTTAAACCATTTAGACTAGGTATAAAGGAACAGAAAGAATATGACCAGGACACCATTTGACTGTATTAACACGGAATGATTTTAAAGGAATTGATTCCAGGCACTCAAAAGGGCCTAATATGATGAGTATTTTTTCAGTTTTAAAATGAAAGGAGTTAAATTACAGTTTGTCTCAAGTAAAAATCTTTACATCAGAACATGAGTCACCCCTTGGTTATCGCATACCTTTGCTAAGCATTTTGGACCAATCTCTAATGAAACCCCGCAATGATGATGGTGGGTAATGCTTACATACCAACAATAATGTAATTGCATTCATATTTTGATAAAATGTTGCCTAATAAAGACAGCCATGCTCATCTGCAGCAGGGAGCCTTCTGTGAATCTGCTGAGTGAATTGGTGTTTTACAGGAAGGGAATAATTGGCTCAGGGAGAGAGGGAGATCCAATGCAAGTATATTCCATCTTGACTGCTTTGGCTGAAAATACTAATTGGAAGTCTCTCCTTGGCTTGAAGGTAATGAAACCGCTGTTAGAGAAAAGTTCATTATTTATATCCACACGCAGCATAGTGAGAGCTGGGAGCACTCTTTGCTACTGTTTCTGTGTTTTCCTGCACTTCTCCTTTAAATCAGAAAACATGCTTATGGCCAAAAAAGGTTCACACAAACATCTTGAAAACACAAATTTACTGTAATGAATCAGACATTGGGGCTCATTTACAACTACAGCTCAGATGAACAGATCCCTTGTTTTGTTTCCCCGATTTAAAATCATTAAGGACTAGCTTGCATAAAAACAGGTCATCAGTGTGTTTTAGTGAAACAGACTCACCCATTTCTTGAAAGAAGTATCCATTCTTGGACATCCCAGATGGAGGCGCCTCTGCAAGAGCAGCACAGAAAAAAAAGCCATTATGGGAGGAAACCTGAGCAACAATAAAAGGCCCAGGACGTACCACCCTTTATTGTAATTATGTTGTACTTGATATAGAGTTGATATGGGGAATGGTTATAAATACAAACTGGCACAATTATTCTGTTTTTCTTTTTGCGGTTTTGGGCTTTTGTGTGCTTGGAAATGTTATGTTTATTTAGAATAACACCTGCCATCTATCAAGACTCAAATGTTCCCTTCAAATGTTCTTGAGCCAAAGTTTGATTTTTTGTGATAGCTGTAGGTTTCTATTATTTTCCATTCAATGACAGGGCTGCAACAAACAACTATGTTTGTTATTAGTTAATCAACTTTCATTAGAATTGACAGAGAAGATCACAAAGATTTTTTTTTTTTTTAGAAAATTAAATTTGATTCCCTTGACGACCTCCGAGTGGGACGTGAATGGAACACCTCCTGAGGGAGGCATCCAGGGAACATCCAAAAAGATTATGAGCCATGTCCGCTGTCTCCTATCAATGTGGAGAAGCAGCTCTAATCAGAGCCTCTCCCAAACATCCATGTTGGAGAGAATAAATGCTCTCTCCAACATGCACCAGGAACAAGTCTGAACTAATGCCAACAATACAGATCAAAGTCTTGCTCCACTTCTACAGAAATATGATAGCCTCTAGTAAAGGACTTCAGGCTCTGTACTCCTGAAGAAACCCCCACAGGGGACGATGAAGGATAAGGTCAAATGCTTCTTTCAGGTCCACAAAATGAATGTTGGGCAAACTCCCGTAGTTCCGTAGTTGGAACACACCCTTCAGTCCCCCTTCTTATGCAGGGGAACCAACACTCCAGTCTGCCAACTCGGGGGAACTGTACCAGACCTCCACGCGACAATATCCAGAATTCTAAGGCAGATCTCATCCCTCCCAGAAGCCTTGCCACCATGGAGTTTTTGACCAACTGGGTGATGAACAAATCCAGCCCCATGCACCCCGTGTCCTCTTCCACCACGGAGGGCATGTCAGATTGAGGAGATCCTCAAAGTATTCCTTCCACCATCCAACAATATCCTCTTTAAAGGTCAGCAGCTCTCCACTTCCATGGCAAATAGTGTTAGCAATGTACCGTTTTCCCTGTGGAGGTGCCGGATGGTTTGCCAGAATTACTTCAAAGCCAGCCGATAGTCTTGGTGATATAGATAATCATGGACAAGGTTTCCTCTAAGCTGCACAATTGCACAATGCTTGTACATTCCCAGCTCACAAAAAATAAAAATAAATTCTATGCAGTGCATAAAATGAAATCTCACATATACAGTAAATAATTTTTTTTCTGTATCATTTTGAATCCGTGTATCAATCTTTTTTTAACATTAAAACCAACAAGGAAAATACAAGAAACCACAGACAAAGAAGGGGAACATCTAAAACATGCAGAACTCAAACCCTTGATCTGACTTTAGACAAAACTGCTGCACACCAACATCTGCACATATGGTGACCAGTTTTCAAACCACTTAAGTTAGCATATTTGTTTTTCTAACAGTACCTGTGATAATGATTTTGACAAATATGGTTACAAAAAACTGTGCAAGCTGTAGTTTCGTTAAACTTTTACTCTGTTATATGGGAAGAGTTAAAATTGCCCAAAAGAAGTTTCACTATCTAAAAATAAATAATGGTAGAAGAAAAACATTAAATGAAAAACATTTTAAACCAGAGGCGCAAAACAAAATTGTCGAAATTAAAGAAAATGTTTTTTTGTTTTTTTTACTTGTTGAAGAACAGCCAGTACAGATGTTAAAAAGTGAACATTTTGTTGCATACTGCAGCCATATCCTTATCTCCACTGTAACAAACCCAGATAAAGTTTTTCTTGTTATAATAAATGTCAAAAGCATTTAAAAAGGAATAAGTACAATCTGAACACAAAGCACTCACACTGCCTCAGCTAAGGTCCTGGCTCTATGAAAATAGTCTGTGGTAATCCATAGAGAGATTTTCTTCCAGGCAGGCAATCATTTGCACTGGTACTATTTTCAAAATGGTGTTTATATCAGTTTGAAATTAAACCTATAATCTGGCAGAGCCTTTGATTAAAAATGCAGTGAAGTAATTTAGAGTGCAACATTTTGATTTCTTTTTTTTTCTAAATGTTACGGTTACTGATATGTACAGCATGAAGATTGCACAGCTAAGTCAAGGCAGAAAAAAAGCAGGGACATTTTGAAGGTTATAGAGACATTATGAGTTCATGCAGAATAAAGAAGGTAGTGGGAGGGGGCAGAGGGCTCAGAAATTACTGTTTTCTTCTTGAACATTGTGGCTATTTGTATACTAACATGTTTCAAACTCAAGCTTTACCAAAATGCCTTGCAGTTCAGTCAATATTCTGAACTATGAATTCACATTCATGTTGGAAAAATATATCTAGGCAATTTGATTTAGTTTATATTATAGCAGACGATATAAAATGCTAAAGGTGGCATCTTTTCTAATGTTGTCTGTTTTAAAATAGTTAAACCATTCTTGATGTCAATTTCTTCTCTCTCACACACAAAGAGGCATCATCTCCACTCCTTATGTAAATATTTAACATCTACACCTGTCAGGAAGAATAGAAAAAACAATAACTTGATGTAATAATTGAGTGTTTGTCATTTTATGGTTCTTAAAGAAAAATCCTAAAAGGCTAAAAAAGGCTAAAAGCTGGTCAATGTTTCACATAATTCTGAGATTGGCAATCTGGCACAAGTAAGGCCCCTCAACTGAGCAAGTCTCGTTAAGGTGTTAAAATGCCTCTAGAAAAACTGTTACGTTTAATTTAAGCCCATTTTTGGCTTCTGTATGTGCATTATTATCTTTATGTCAGGGGTCTTCAACATTTTCCAGGCCAAGGACCCACAGGCTCTATCTTACCAGATATCCTGGCTGTTTCTCTATGAAGTAACCTCTTAAAGAATTTATCTATGCTTGGGTACATGTGTGAAAATCAAAATAAAATGTAAAATTTGAGGAAAAGATTGTTTTTTTTAGCTAATATGCTGCAATGTTTTAAGAACAGTGGAATGATGGCTGCTCTTTTGTTTCAAAATAATGTTTATTCAGTATCATCGTACTGTAGGAATCTAATACCAGCCTGTGACGAGTGTCATGTTCTGTCAGAAAGTGCTGCAGTAATCTGCAGTAATGGGCAGAGCAGCATGTTATATTCCATATAATCCTTGTCAACATGTCAGACAATCTCAAAGGAATGGGTGGATGCAAAATTTAGAAGGAAATAACACTTCAAGTGTCATCCAGTCCTGTACTGCATACTGATAACATATTTGTCATATTTGTCAAGTAGAATGAACTCTACTGCCCTTAAACGCTCTGTGTTTGTTTTAATGGCTGAGTTACGAAAGCTGATGGAGACTGGTGAAGATATTTTATAACGATAAAGAAAGAGAAAAGCAAACTATGACTTGATCATTATAAACTGTGTTATTTTCAGCAATAATCATGTATTTTTCTGATGATACGCAGCCCTGGTACTGCAAGGAAAACCACAACGAAACCACCCAAATCTAAAGGACTCATTCCGTAAAAGTTTTTACACTTTCACTCATCAATACACAACTGGCGTTTTCATCTTTTTAACTGTGTCACAAACTTCTGAAATCCTCTTTGCTGGTAGAAAGTTTTACAGGAAGCTTGAACTAAAATCACGCACAGTGCCTCACGTCACAGCAGCTACATGTAAAAACAACAAACGCTGCAAGATTTGTGCTTCTGAATATTTCCTTTGGTCTAATTTTAAAGTCATTATTTTTAGACCATTCAACACTTTGTGATGTCCTCAGCTGAGAGCACATACAGCTGTAAGGGAACGGAGATATATATCATCTTTACTTTATCATCCATCCATACATACAGTAAATATTCAACAATATTCATGCTTTTCTTAAAGATATACTAAGCAACAACTAATGTCTGAAAATTAAAATGTAATTTGGTGAGTTTTAAAAGCTTTTGACATTCTTAGTTTTTCTGAAAATTATATATTTCATTAGTGAAGAGGTACACAGAAATTACTATAATATATGAGTGAAGAAGAAAAAAACAACTCCTGCAAGAAACACATCAGACGACCTCATGCAGAAAGATTTATGATAACATTTCAAGAAAGAGGAAGCTGCTGATATGCAGGCAGGAAGTCAAAACTGGTTAGCCTACTGCATGCATCTCTTCTTTTTTCACGGCATGGAGGGTGTGGGGAGTGTTAGAGAGAACCGATGACTCGAATAAAAGCTCTGAAGTTTGTTTTATCATTTAGAATAAAAAGAGAAAACGAAGCGGGAAGGGATGTTATTTCCTTTTTAGTAAATTTTTTTTCTTTTCCTTAGATTCTAGCAGGGATAGTTAAATAACTATATCAATCAAACATTGAAACTTAAATATTGACACATATGCAGTGTGTCAAGTACAAAAACATCAAAACACACCCAACCACTTTTGGTTTTGCAGCAGGCTGAGAAGTGATGCAGAAAACCGTTGGACTGAGAGAAACAGGGAAAGGAAATTTGACTCATCAAAACTTTCTCACCAAAATCTACACAAATATGAGGTCATTTTGATCTATTTTCAAAAGTGGGAAAAATATCATGAGAAATGCAAGTTGTTTATCAAAATACACGATCAAACTGACAATTTGATTGCCTTTGGTAGGGGAAAGTAAAGGTTAAGAATGGTAAGATTTCGTTTGTCAAATAACAGACTAAAAATTCTTACTTTTACTTCTTGCATCATACTTTTAGCTCTAAAAATATTATGTAAAGTAGTTATTACCTGGTATTTTACTTACTTCTAAAATTGTTTTGAATTTTTTTTTTTAGGGTAGACAAGAATTTTACTAGTTTGTAAGCATGACTCCTAGAGCACATATGAGGAGCAAACTTTTACATAATTTTTTTTTCCATGTTTTTTCCTCTGACAAATAACGTAGGAGTTATG